TGTCATTAGCTAGTCTTTTGTGTGCAGTGATCACCAGTCCTTGTGGCTGGGTAGAGTTTGTTGACCTTTTTGCAGGCTATATTTTTCAGTGCTGGGAGCCAGCCTTTGTTGAGTTTTAGGCTTTCTTCTCTTTTGTTGAAGCTGTGCTGGCATTTGTGGATTTCAATATAACGCATTGTTAGGACTAGAAAATTATCAAGAAGCTTGTAAAATAATAGGGATTTTTTTGTTAAGCAAGTAAGCACTGATATATGGAATAGTATATAGAGAAATAAATGTTTTAAATCCATATCTGTCAGAATAAAATTTCTACAAATGGATACAGAGGTGGTAGCTGACTCCTGTGAAATTAAATATGGATTCTGGGTATTCTAAAATATGTTGGAGATGTGGACAAGATGTCAGTACCTATTACCATATGTGGTGGAAATGTGGAAAAGTATCAAAATTTTGGAAGTCAGTATTTAAAGAAATAGGAAAAATGTACAAGTAACAATAGACATTTGCCCAAAAATGGCATTTTTGCTTCTTTTTGAAGAAGACTGGTGTAATTTGGCAAAGAAAGATTTAATTCTGAATATGCTTACAGTGGCTAGATGAGTGATTGTGAGAGACTGGAAACGGAAGTATATGTTTCAATTAACTGAACAGCATAATGAAGTCTAGGAAGTAGCTGTTAACGGTAAGTTGACATGGGATATAAAATTTAAAAAGGGATTGTTAAAGGAGAACAAATGTGTTGAACTATGGCAAGATCTTCTGATTTATGTGTTATTGAAAGGAGAAGGCTGTCTACCCAAACAAGAGACTGGAATGGAAATGTATATAAACGTGAAGACACATACACTTTTCCAGACTTTTTTAAGCATTTAAAGGTTATTATTAATCTAAGGGGTGGGGGAGTGTTTGAGGCATTCTAATTCTGAGAGCAGAAATTTAACAACACAGCAGGTGCAAATAATTTTGTTCCTGAACAAGGGCAGGTTTGTAAATGAATCATCACTGTATAGTCAATAAGAGCTCTTGTTTACTGTGAAGAAATAACCACTTACACAGGGTGTAAGCAAGCAGTAAATAACACCCTGTGTTCGCTCTCTATCACCACCTTCTTTTTCTAGTGTGCAGAATTTGACAAAACATTTGTGCCGTTGGAAAAGCTGCTTTTAAAAAACGATGCGCCTAAATAGATGAAAGAACTGGCTCAAACAATTAATTTAATATCTGGTGCTGACAAGATTTAGCAAGTGAGTCATGCTATCGCAAATCTAATGGCTCAGAGAAACATAAAATCACTTCAGGCTAGTCCATTCACACTTTCTACTGTTAGTTATCAAATGTATGTACATTCCTAGAAGACTGCCTGTGTGAATCAGGCTGAGATCCCCTGGAAAGCAATAATATGTAAGCATATTTTAAAGCCTTTAAACCCCAATGCCTGCCTTTCTGAAAGTCACTTTCATGCATAGTATTTCCTCATTCCTCCCCATTAAAAAACAAGTAGACTTTAATTATATCAAACAGTGGGCATCAATTTTACCAGCATTTTTGGATTATCCAAAATCCATTCTATGTTCACTTTACAGACATCTAACATACTTTGAGAAATATTAGAAAAAAACACTGAATATGTGAAACATTGGTCAAATTTAATACTGTATAGTTTATACATATTAATTTAATAGCAAAGTTCTTATTTTCAATAGCTTTTTAAAAAATCTTTTCACTATTGGGAATTTATTGAAACAGAGATAGATCACTATAATTAGCACTCACCAATTCCCAGTATTGTAGCACATTAGAGACCTAATAGCTTTGTGGCATGTGTGTTTATAGACTAGAACAATCAGAAGCATGAAATATTATTCTCAGTTGGCAAATAAAATACACCATAAAACTGTGGCATTAAGACTTACTGACTGAATTTTCATTTCCCCTTCTCCTGTTCTTTCCATATCTTTTCCTTTTGTGTCCTTGTACAGTATCTGTAAGATTCTTTTTTCAAAATAATCTATTACACTGGTCAGATCAAAAGAAAATTGGACAGCCCTCTGTCCGATCTCCAGTACTTTGATCTGGATTCCTGCATTGAGCAGGGGGTTGGATTCGATGGTCTTATAGGCCCCTTCCAACTCCATGATTCTATGATTTTATTTATTTGTTTATTTTAGAATAATGTCATGTAAAAGCATTTAAGAAGTTTCCAAACCAAAAGATACTAACAATTCTACTGTAACTCTCCCTTCTCTCTCTGAGTGGAACAAACGAACTAACAACTGGAGTTCATCACTGTGCCTCAGCATTGTGGTTCGTTTGAACAAGAAGGCATTTTATTGTCTTAGATGTAAAAAAAATGTGCCCCAATGGCAAAACACCATACATTCTTCTTCTTCTTCTTCTTTAAATGGACAACTCTTGTCCCAAGCAGGTTTTGTCTCTGGAGGGAAAAATATCCCATACTTGGGGACATGGTTTATGACTCTGCGGGTCGCAATGCTGTAGAAAACAAGTACTGTTGGTCTGGTTCTTTGTAGATTTTACATCAGAACGTGACTGTGGAACTCAAATGCTGCACCCCCAATTCATAAGAGTTAAAATATATTTCAGTTTAAATTTTTGAACTTAAAATAGCATGGCAGTTTGAAGTTTCCACTTTAGCAGTTAGTAAAATAGCCACCCGCCCCTCAGCTATATGAGTCTCCCACGCATGAACAGAGGTTTGATGTACTGTCCATGCAATAATGGAGACTCTTCCCATCTTCTCATGATGTATGCAGTCGTGAGAATATATGCTACTCTTTGAAGAATGTCCATTGCACATAATGTGAAGAACCACTGGCATGACGTTAAAATTATAGATGGGAGAAGTAGAAATACCAGAACATTATCTTAACCTTTCTTCACAGGGCATGTCTATAAAATGACAAGAGAGTAGGACTATGAAAAATTTAGAAAATAGTATAGACGTTCTGTTCTCCAAGGAAAGGCGAATGGGAAAATAAGACAAAGTAGGGACCAATTAAACATGATAGGAAGTAATAATTTTCCTTCCTAAAATATGGAATAAATCATATTAAATGTGGTAGAACAACTAGTGGGGTACAGAGGGCTGGCTTTCGTATGCCGTTTACTTGGAACCACGTTCCACTTCTCAGCAATGAACTCATTGAATAATCTTGGCCATGTTGCTCAGCCTCAGTTCATTGTCTGCGAAACTTCACAAGCAGTTGGGAGGGCAAAACAAAGAACTGCAATCCACAGCACATCAAAACTATTAATACATTTTAAGCAGAAGAAACTTCACAGGGAAATGTTCTGTCAAAGGTAGCCAAAACATCTCCTACAGTCAGTCGGGTTGTATGAAGCTGTGTGAAGAGGCTGTGGACTAGCCAATGGTTTTGCGCTTAGCATCTAAGAATATACAGTAAAAACAGCCCTGCTGCATTGTAAATTCCAGCAGTCACTACAATGTAGTTTGAACAGCTAGGGTGGCCTTTCTCAATATTTTTCTGGCCACGGCCATAAACACAATATGAAAGAGATACAGATTGAATCAGGATTGTATAAATTGCATAACAAATCTAATAAGGTAGTGTGTGAAGAATTGTTTCCAGTCTATGCCCCCCCTCAAATGGGCCAGGGGCACCCAAAGGGCCATAAGACCCCCGTTAAGAACGGCTGCTTTAGGTAAATGGACAAACATGAACTTCACAACTATGCCACAAACATTACCACATCTGTGTATAGATTTATGACATTTCCATTTGTCTACCATGTATATAGAGAGACCTGTCATTCATCAATCAATTTATCTTTAAAAAAAAAAGTTTAATAAATACTTATAGAGTGCCTGAAAACCTCATAGGTCTTCAGTCTCAAGAAACAAAGACAGCAGTATGAAAACAGAATGAGTTGGGGTAAGAAGCGAGAGAGAAAGAGGTATTTGAAAGGTTCAGTATCTGGGATGAGCCCTGGTTTAAAGATAGCACTTATTAGGAACCCATCTGCCTGTAAGCTTGCCTGCTTTTTAAATCAGCCAGTGTTGCTGCAGCATGAGCTGTGCCCTCACTGCACAGATCTGGGCAGGCGGGAAACATTTTTTTCCTCTGGATTTCTGTGCCATGTCCAGTGAACACTGAGCTGTTCTTGTAAGGCACTTGAGAGCAGAACAAGTGACTTGAATGGAAAGTCCCTCTAAACCAGCAGCTTTTGTGTTTTTTTCCTGGGCAGTTTATCACCCTTCCCCACTTGTCACCTTAGGCAAAGTTCAAGGCAAAGCACTGCAATTGCTCATCAAATACACAGGAAAGCAGACAGATTAACCAACCTTTGATGGTCTTCGGCCACTCAGAGTCCCAGGACGCTTCACACTGGTTCCTGATCCCTGTCACAGGGATCTGCGCAAGCAGGAGGAACAAGGCAGCTAGCTACTAGGATCCTCCTAAGTCTTCTCAGGGGCTTTTTCCAGTTCAGAGGAGCAGCAAGAAGGCACTTCCTCTGTTCTGCTCAGCTCATGAGTGAACAATACTTTGCATACATCTTTTATTTCTTCTGAAGGCTGAGAGGAAGCCAAGAGGTCATACAGTGGTGGGAGAAGTTGTAGGTTAGAATGCGGGAGGGCAAGTCCCAGAGAGAAGCGAGAGCTGAAGTGGAAGCTAGCAGATGAGAAGACTAGGGGACTCAGGCCCCTCAATGGGAGATAGCAGATAAAACTTTTTTTCTACCACACAGATAAACAGAAGCACTTGCTATTAGGCTGATCCCACTCTTGGGCAGGCAGAGGTGGGGGCAGCTGCCTCAGGCCCTAAAGGCCAGGGATGGGACTTCAGTCATGGGATTGCTGTCAAGTTGGACTTAAGTCACACTGGTGGCTTGACTCCGACTCAGTTTAGGCTTTTCCCTCCAGTGACTTGACGCAGAATCCACTCAAACACTCCCTTTGTTTGTTTTCCCTCCAGTGACTTGCAGAATCCACTCAAACACTCCCTTTGTTTCTGTGGTTAAAAAGTTTGTTTTTAATAGGGACGCAGGCTTGGGCCTTGGTGTCAAAGATTCAGACTCGGACTTGTGACTTGGACTAAAGACTTGCCAACATCCCGGGTAAAAAAAAAAAGCTGAGAGGGCCATGCCATCAGCCACTATCACATTCACCCTAACACCCTTAAGCTCTCCTACTGCTTTAAGGTGCAGTGGATGGTGGCTGATGTAATATTCTGTTCCCAGACCACCGGGATTATCTAGGTGGAGTGAAATGGTGGGAGTAAAATTCTGACATTACAGATCTCACTGCATTTCCTGCTTTGGCAAGGAGTTGGACCTGATGGTCCTTGTGGTCCCTTCCAGCTTTACAATTTGACAGGTCTATGAGTCTATTATTCTATGGCCTTCCCGAAAGTGTCAGTTCCCGTTTATTTTCCCGAGGCTTATGGAAGATAAACTGAGGGTGCTTGCTGCTCAGGAGAAAGGTACAGTTGTGGGGAGAGAGGAGGGTGCATACAAATTATTAGAAAGTTCTACTGGTTTTATTGTTGTCTTTGATGCTGAGCATATGGTTGCTGTGAATCTTAAATTTCTGGAAAGAGCTTTCAGATGACAAGAAGGAACTAATCCATTTATCTTGGTATGGCTCTTTGAACTCAGATTCATGTCCTACTAAATTTAATGAGTCTTGTCCATAGAGAATGGGTATATCTGTAACCATTATACAGCAGAGTTTATTGGCAAAATTGTTTTCTGTAATTCTGAAATTACAGAAGTAATTTAGTAGACTAAATTCTGTAGTCCAAAAATTGAAACTTTAAAATTGTGGACTTTACAGATTTTACTCCATTTCCTGAGAGTTGGACTTGATGGTCCTTGTGGTCCCTTCTTGTAGGAACAGTCCCTCAGCCAACATGGTCTGGATGACGGATTCTAGATGGTGTAGTTTTATTTCCCAAACACATATCCAGGGTCTGCTATGAGTTTCATTTCTTAGATAGTATAGCACTGGAACAAAACCTCAGCTATTTTTAAATTTGTTAAGGACTGCTCGAAAGAGGAATCTACTCAGCAAGTACATGAGCATGTGTTCATGCATATGAGATCATAAATTTAAATGGGGAAGCAAGAGATACTGTAGCATTCACCCTGCTTATCAATATTTATGTTAAGATTTGCATGTACCAAGAGGAGTTGGTGGGGCGGCGTTAAGTGGGGAAGAAGAAAAGGAGGGAGAGTAGAGTGAGTGGAGATGAGAAGGGAGAAGGTTGTTTTAGCTGAGAGTTAACAATATTGATATCACCTGTAACAATAAACAATTTCTACTTGGTTCTTAAATGATACATTGCCCAGACCTCTGTCATTAATAGTAAACAATGTTAATGTAATCAACTGGTGGCAGCTGAATGACACGTAGCATGTTCCTTTGTGTGGTGAAACAACCAAGGGCCCTGCGGGAATGTGACAAATTGGTGGCATAATGGAGGGATCCAAAACAATCCATTATGAAATTGAATTTTCTTGAGTCTGGAGAGAAAAGGGGTTAGGATCTGTGACGTAAGAAGTGATTACCTGTTAGAGTCTTGTGGAAGACTTAATTTCGGGGCTTCTAAACCCAGGTCTGGGGAATCCCAAGAAGAGGTCCTTTTGATTCTTGTGAAGGAAAAGAACCAGTCCAATTTAATAAGAAATTGTACTGCTTATGCCGCCCAAACGAAGTAAAAAGTTGGTTATGGACGCATAGGTGGAGCTCCAGGGTGCTGAGGGAAATGGAAACCCTCAAATTCAAAGTGATGAAGAAACTGAGGGACCAGTAATAATTGCCTCAGAAGTCGAAAATATCCAAAGCTCCCAAGATTTTGAGAAATGGAAGCTGGCATAGAAATTCAAACTGAAGGAGTTAGCTATGAAAAACCAATTAGAATTAGAAAAAGAAAAAAAATCAGAGAACTTGCAAGGAAAAGGGAAAGGGAATTTAAGCAAGAGAACAGGCAAAGAGAAATGCAGTTCCAAATTGAGATGAAGAAAATGGAAATAGCTGCCCATAATAATAATAATAATTCCAGTGTGGGATATCCCTCAAATATCAATCTAAAAAAATTTCCCCAATATTGGAAAGGAGATTGCCCTGAATCTTTCCTGATTTCCTTTGAGAGAGTTTGTTGGGACTTCGGGGTTAAGGGTGAGGAGAGGATGATAATTTTAAAGTTACAAATAGGGGGAGTTTTATCTGAGATCTATTCACAGATGCCTCTTGAACAAGTTAGAGATTTTGAGGCTTACTGAAAGATGGTGTATTCACAATTTGAGATTGATTCGGAGCATCTCAGGAGAAAATTTCGATCTATTTCAAAGAAAACTGAGAAGTCTTGCTCAACTTGGGGCACATTTAACTCGGTATCTTAACAAGTGGCTAGAACCAGGAACGGGTCACCTTCCTAGACCAAATGAAAAGGGAGAAGGTTGTTTTAGTTGAGAGCTAATGATATTGACTAGACTTGTATCACCTGTAACTATAAACATTTTCTACTTGGTTCTTAAATGATACATTGCCCGGACCTCTGTCATTAGTAGTGAACAATGTTGATGTAATCAACTGGTGGCAGCTGAATGACACGTAGCATGCACCTTTGCTTGGTGAAACAATCAAGGGCTACGTGGGAACATGACAGATGCATGTAGCAAAATTCTGCTTTTAAAAATAGAGGGAAAGAGGTCTAAAAATATTTAATTAACAGCTAGGTGGTGTACATGTTTTCTGAACTGAAAACTGCTGGGTAGCTCAAGAGTTTAGATATCTGATTACAGCACCAGATACTGGGAGTTTGATTCCCCACTGTGCCTCTTTGAGAGGGGCTGGACTCAACGATCCATAGGGTCCCTTTGCAGTTCCAAGATTCTAGATTATTAAAACTTCTACAAAATAAAATGCATTCAGATTTTGTATTGGTTATGTTACAGAAAATTAAAAGTCAGTGTTTTAAGAAATATGCAGTGTTCTTCTCACCTCCTAGTAACAGTGTACATTTGGATGGGGTTTACTTTTAAGCCTGTGCATAACTCTGTGTTGTACGATATTCATCTTCTTAATTCCTCTGAATCAAAACAAAAACAAAAATATCCCCATTCACATTATGCTTGTGTGAAATGTTTCTTTATGGCACCTTCTGGATATGCTGCTCTTACTGCCGCCTTGTGGTGCTTTAGTGCAACAACCAGCTTAAGGCAAATAGATTTAAGGAATGTACTTCTCATATGTTGTAGAAAGATTATAGACTTAGATATGATGTCTATTGAGTTAATATCTTCCTGATGTAGCAGTTTGTATACATGAACAGTAAAATCATTGCTGTGTTTCTCAGAAGCCCCACCAAGTTCAATGGGACCTTCTCCCATCTAAGAAGGTGTGGATCGCAGCCTATACACCAGAGCTTAGCTGTTTCAATTGAAGAAGTCACAACAGTCAAATTGTTTGTTTGTTTTTTGAAGCCTCATCTTGTGAGGAAGGCAAGCTAAAACCCTAGCTCAGGGTCAGCCTATCCCAGTAGCAAAAATCATCCATTTTCAGATTTTCTGGGCATTCTTCATTCTAGGACTTCTGCCTACTATACAAACATCCAAATGTGAGGTACCTGGGAGATGGGCCTACATTGGATGGCTTAGCTAGGCCTGGCTCTGCCCACACTTCCTGCTCAGAAGGAAAACTCCCAGCTAGCACTGGGGCAGGAACAGGACACTTAGGTGGAACCAGACCTGGATAAGCTTCAAAGATGTCCAGTGTGGGCCTTTCTCCCAGGTAGGTGTTTGTAAGGTAAGTAAAACATCCATAATGGAGAATTATGCTATTTCTAGTCCAGAAAATCCAAAAATCCCATATCTAACAAATTAGGCTTGGTCAATTTTTCTTTTAAGGTAATGTAGTAATTCATTTTAGCATCAGAAGGACTGGCATATTCAAGAGACAATTCACAAGCTGAAGAGACCCTTATGAAATAAAACCAAAATGGCTCTTTACATTTCTTCCTTTTTCTCCCCCAGGATTGCTTACATTTAAACTCCCATTTTTGAATACAGTGGTGCCTCGCTTAGCAATGTTAATTCGATCCGAAAAAATTGCTGCTAAACGAAAACATTGCTAAGCGAAATAAAAAAGCCCATAGAAACGCATTAAACCACGATTAATGCGTTCCTATGGGCTTAAAACTCACCTTTAAGCAAAGATCCTCCATAGCGCCACCATTTCTGGTGCCTCTAAAGTGAGGAATCCGTCCCAGAAAACAGCGGGCGGCCATTTTGTTTACCCGGTGGCCATTTTGAAACCGCTGTGCGAAAATGAGGGCTTTGCGATCATCACAAAGCGAAAATATCCCATAGGGACCATCGCAAAGCTATTGCTTTTGCGATCGCAAAAAATGTGTCGCAAAACGATTTCATTGCTACATGGAGCAATCGCTATGCGAGGCACCACTGTACTAATTTTGTTTGGTGCTGAGATTCACTATGCTTTGCTGTCTGTCGTAATTTTTTTAAAAATTACTCCCTTTTTTTCCACGGCCACCTTCCAAATATTTCCAGATGCTTCACTTTTGCTTTCCCCCATCCTTTTTTAAATTCTCACAAAACACCCTGTGAAGTAAGGTATGCTAAGAG